GAAAATGCATCCCCAGTGGAGAAAGAATTGAGCAGGGAACTCTTTATCCATGCTTTGGGTGCAGAAGAATCCAACCAAGTCCCACTTGTTTTGCTGGATGGATTTGATGAAGTGGGCAAGGAAATTCAGGATAAAACATTACAGTTGTTGCATTTCCTCAAAGACCAGAGCAAGGCTGAAGTGTGGATCAGCAGCAGAAAAACCCACATTGACAAGTTGGAAAATGAATTGGCTCAATTGGCCACTGAATTTATCCCACTTGAGCCTGCTGAGCAACACCAGCTTTTGAAACAGTTCTGGAAAAATTGTTTACAATTGAACTATTCCCATGAAGAACTCGAAAAGTTTAGTTACAGGATTTTCTCTGAAGAATTGCTCAAAAGGGCTGAACACTCTTTAGGCCCAACCATTGGGCAATTTATTGGCATTCCTTTGCAGCTGCTTTGAACTATTCCCATGAAGAACTGGAAAAGTTTAGTTACAGGATTTTCTCTGAAGAATTGCTCAAAAGGGCTGAACACTCTTTAGGCCCAACCATTGGGCAATTTATTGGCATTCCTTTGCAGCTGCGGATTTTGGCTGAAGTTTATTTGCCTGATTTTGAAAAGAATTGTCAGGTTTTAGATTCTGCTCAATTGAAGGCACTGTTTGAGAACCTAAATCCTTTTACCCTCTATACAAAATTTGTTGACAGAAAACTGAACATCTACTTTCAAGAAAAAAACAAGATTGATCATGAAGAAACACGAGATACTTTGAGGAAAACCTATCTTGAAGCACATCAAAAATTGGCATTGAAACTATCATTTGAGGAATATTCAGAAGAAGGTCAAGATATACCAAAGGATATCTCAAATGTTGGGATTGTGCAATTAATTAATGGGAAGCATGAATTCTTGCATGAAACCTTTGTGGCATACTTTGTCACCAAATATGTAGAACAAAAGCTACTTCTGGAACAAAAGCAGAAATATGGAAAACAGTTCAATAAAACACAGCACCTGTTTCTAAAATTGCTTGATCAGCCTGAGAAACCAGTTGTGCGCCTCTTCCTGGAGAACCATTTGATTCAAAGGATCTTGAGGGAAAAAGAAATGTTACACACCTGGGGTCATAAACTATTTCATCACTATGAAGAAAACTCAGGCACACTTGCAGCACTGAATAATGCTGCTAAAGAGGGTCATATGAACATCCTTGAATTTATATGCCAATGCCTTAGTAAGCAGCACCAACAGACCATGGAAATACTAATACTTGGACAAGAAGACAGAGTCACCCCATTACACCTTGCTGCAGAAAATGGCCATGAAGAGGTGGTGGAAGCATTGCTTGGAAAAGGTGCTGCTGTTGATGCAAGGAATGATAAAAACTGGACCCCATTACACATTGCTGCACAAAATGGTCATAAAGAGGTGGTGGAAGCATTGCTTGGAAAAGGTGCTGCTGTTGATGCAAGGAATGATAAAAACTGGACCCCATTACACCTTGCTGCACAAAATGGTCACAAAGAGGTGGTGGAAGCATTGCTTGGAAAAGGTGCTGCTGTTGATACAAGGGAAGAAGACAATTGGACCCCATTGCACATTGCTGCACAAAATGGTCATAAAGAGGTGGTGGAAGCATTGCTTGGAAAAGGTGCTGCTGTTGATGCAAGGGAAGAAAGAAACTCAACCCCATTACACATTGCTGCACAAAATGGCCATAAAGAGGTGGTGGAAGCATTGATTGGAAAAGGTGCTGCTGTTGATGCAAGGAATGATAAAAACTGGACCCCATTACTCCTTGCTGCACAAAATGGTCACAAAGAGGTGGTGAAAGCATTCCTTGGATCTAGTGCTGCTGTTGATGCAAGGGAAGAAAGAAACTCAACCCCATTACACATTGCTGCACAAAATGGCCATAAAGAGGTGGTGGAAGCATTGCTTGGAAAAGGTGCTGCTGTTGATGCAAGGAATGATAAAAACTGGACCCCATTACACCATGCTGCACAAAATGGTCACAAAGAGGTGGTGAAAGCATTGCTTGGAAAAGGTGCTGCTGTTGATGCAAGGATTGATAAAAACTGGACCCCATTACTCCTTGCTGCACAAAATGGTCACAAACAGGTGGTGGAAGCATTGCTTGGAAAAGGTGCTGCTGTTGATACAAAGGAAGAAGACAATTGGACCCCATTGCACATTGCTGCACAAAATGGTCATGAACAGGTGGTGGAAGCATTGCTTGGAAAAGGTGCTGCTGTTGATGCAAGGGGAGATAAGAACTGGACCCCATTACTCCTTGCTGCACAAAATGGTCACAAACAGGTGGTGGAAGCATTGCTTGGAAAAGGTGCTGCTGTTGATGCAAGAATTGATGAAAACTGGACCTCATTACACATTGCTGCACAAAATGGCCATAAAGAGGTGTTGGAAGCATTGCTTGGAAAAGGTGCTGCTGTTGATGCAAGGAATGATAAAAACTGGACCCCATTACACCTTCCTGCACAAAATGGTCACACAGAGGTGGTGGAAGCATTCCTTGGAAAACGTGCAGACGTGAATGCAAGAAATCAGGAAGGTTTAACTCCATTACACATGGCTGCATATACTGGTCAGAAAGAGGTAGTGGAAGCATTGCTTCAAAAAGGTGCAGATGTCAAAGCAATAAATCAAAATGGGTCAACTCCATTAGAGTTGGCTTTACAAAATGGTCATGTAGAGGTGGTGCAAATATTGCTTCAAGAATATGCTCTGGTTCACTGAACAGATTAAGATCATTAGATTCCATTGCTTATTGTTGCCTAAAATGGTCATAATAAAAGAGGTGGTGCAAGCATTGCTTGGAAAATGTGCTGTGGTTGATGCAAGAACCCATCAAAATCAGACCCCATCACACATGGTAGCACAAAATGGTCATCAAGATGCAGTGGAAGCATTGCTCAAAAAAGGTGCTCATGACAACGCACAAACTCGAGTTGGGAAACTCCATTAAATTCTCTGCACATAATGGCTTCATATCAGTGGTTGAACTATTGTGTGATGAAGGTGCTTTTCTATGCTAGGGAAGAAGAAAAGTGGACTCCAATACACTTCGCTTCACAATATGGTCATAGACAGGTGGTTCAAGCATTGCTACCAGAATGTGCTAATGTTGATGCAAGGGAAAGAATAAATGGCACTCCACTGCATTTGGCTGCATAATATGGCCATAAAGAGTTGCTGATAGTATTGCTTTAGAAAGATACTGATGTCATGAAGAGGTGGTACAAGCATTCCTTGAAACATTTGCTGTTCTGAAATCTCATTCTCAAAATGGGCAGACTGCTGTACTTCACTATAGGCTGCACAACAGTTTCATAAATACATGGCCTAGGCATTATTTGAGAAATTTTCCCA